AGTGGCCTCTGCTCCGAGTTGCCTTGTTTCCATGGAGATTTATGTACACATGGCACACAAAAGAGGGCTAAGGAGGTAACACGGCCTGTTTAAGCCTTGAGGTATTTGCTCGAGCAAAGCCCCGCTGCTAATAACACAAGCTTCATACTGAGCCAGGCAACCTGGCTGCACTGCACCCAGGATAGTGTTTGAGAAAGAGCAGGAGGGGAAAGAAGGCAGAGGAAAGTCAGATGGAGATCACAAACAACCAAAGATCCTGGAGAGGCAGTGAAGACGTTAAGAGCGAAAGAAACCCAGCAAGAAAGCAAGCAAGAAAGAAAGAAAGAAAGACTGCACTGCAAAACATAAATAGCTCCCGGGTTAAGAGAAAAAGGATCGGGAAGACATTTAGTGGGAAGCGGAAATCAATAAGGCAAGCGGTGAAGCTGGGAGGGAGTTCTAAGTGGATTAGATTGAGAGAATGTGTTCGATAGGTTATGGCTCTGAGAGAGAGGTAGCCAGACACCGCAGGCTCTATTGCATACTAATAAGGAAGCCAGAATGAAAGCTAAGCACAGGGTTGTGCAGTTCACTGTGAAGACTTTTTCTATATGGCTCTGGCATCATCGGTTAAGGCTTTTCCCAGGATTTGAATTTTACGATCTTGCTGAGTTTGTTCTGAATGTTCACTGTTAAAATTCATGTCCGAGAATAAAATTCCACTCAGCTTCCAAAAGCGCCGCTCTCCAGACTTCTCCCAGCATCGTGTCACCGGACAAATGTGAAAATTAAAGGGAGCCGAATAGCTCGACTTGAATAAAGTCAAACGGTGGCGTTCTTATTGCTGTCTGCTTACAGCAAGTTTTGTTTCACACTTCTGGCATGAACCCAGCCACCCTTCCTCTGGCCGAGCGCCTGGGCCTGGGACAGCTGTCATGGTCGCAGTCTCGGGCTTGAGGGAAAGCCAGGCAGCGAGAAAAGAAAAAGAGACCGGGAGAGGGAAGGAGTGAGAGAGTCATTTGGCCGGGCAGCGTGCCGCAGGGGTGATTCCTGATGGCAGAGAAGGATAAGGGGATTCAGGGAGGGAGGGTTAGATGTTGTGCTTAGTCACAGACCTCCACTGTGACCCAGAAGGTCAGACCTCCACACTGGTCGCCTGACCAAAGCCTCCGAGGCAGCCAGGCGGAAAACAAGATGCAAACAGCCACCCCACGCAGCGTGGAGAGCAGGCAGTGGCCGGTCTTGAAGATAGCAACGAGCCAGACTAGCCCGGCCGGAGGGACTGGAGTGGGGGGGCGACGCAGTGTGGGAGGGAGTCGGTGGTGCCTACTCCCCCTCACTTAGGCCAGTGAACCAAGGGACCACCAGCTAGACCAGAAGCAGTGGCAGGGGAGCGGAGACAAACAGTTGCCAAGAGACCACCGGTGATCCTGCGACCGCTGCGGTTTGACCCCGATTCAGGAGGTCAACGAGGGGGGCTTACGAGCAGCCACCCCCGCCGCCTCCCCTGACCACCGGCCGCCGCCACCCCCAGGGCAAAAAGTCTTCCTCCTCCACGTGCCCCGAGCCGGCGACGGGCGCGTTTTCACTGATCTGTTTTGCTCAATTAAACTTCAGAGGACACCCTGCCACATCTCTTTGCAAAGGTCACGACCCCGGGGCCAGAGGTTAAGTCTGGCGATTGTAAAACAAGGGTCTCCATTAACACGGCGGCACGGATTCAGACGTAATCCATCCATTTCCACAAACTATCATGACGGTGTGGAAAAAAAAAGAGAAGTTACATTACCGAAGTGGGGGGGGAGAAAAAAAAAAAGGAAAGGTAATGATGTTTTATGGCTGTGTTAACTTTCAGCACCAGAGTAATGGGAAAACTGCTTGACCTTGACTTCTTTAGCCTCCTATTGTACTGCCTCAGCAGTCTCCGGGTTATGAGGAAATCCACCGACGATCTCCCAAAATGCTCAGAATTCCTTGTAGTAATTTTCAATTTCACTTCGAATCAAGATAGTGGAGGGGAACGTACAACGAGGTTCATCCATCAGCTTGTGCGTCTCGTATCTTTTTAATTATTTTATTAATTGCTGAAGAAACACAGCCGAAGTCAGAGAACTTTCGGCGAGCGCGACGTCCCGACGAGCAGCTTAACAAAAACCAAAAAACAAAACGAGGCCTACAGAGTTCTGACGAGTCCCAACACGATGCTTATCTACATGCCTTGTTACAACTATTCCATCAAGCTGTCAAACTGGATATGCAAAATATGAATCCAGGTGGGGAGAGGTGATGATTCAAAGAAAACAGAAAAAAAAAAAAAGAAGAAGAATCGCGCTTCTCGTTTCGTCTGATACAAGCAGCGAGTGTGAGAAGCCGAGGCCCTGTATTGAACGCGGGGCCTGCCAGTTGGCACAATGGACGCCACAACCCCCACTCCCAGCACCCCCCCCCCAAGCCTACTTCCCAGCGGGCATTCATCTGGGCATGCACATGGGTGCTACAGCCCTGCACTGGCTAAAAACGCGTCTGTGCCCCAGAACAAGGGGGCTGAGTGCCCTCTCAGAATTCACTCAGGACACTCAGCGCCAACCCGCCGACCTTTCTCAGGCAGCGACCCGCCGCGGTTTAAAAACAAACACGACTTGGGGTTTTCTGCCACGGAAAAAACAACTAAGTAAAAATGGGTAAAAAGCTGCAGCGAAATAATTCATCTTATGCGATCGGACAACAGAGCAGAAGCGAGCAGGACACAGAGAGAGAGCAATATTAAAAAAAAAAAAAGCACAGTCCGAACCCGCTTTTTTTTTTTTTCTTCTTTCTAGCAGTTTGCACAAATAGCAGCAGATTCTGTTTCAGCCGGAGCCGTTTGCGAGTTTCTTTGTGTTTGATTGTATGTTTGTTTGTTTCGTGCAGTTGCAGCAGAACAAAGGCAGCGGCTTCCATTCTGCCACTGTCAAAAAACTTTCCAACGTGCCCACTGCATTGCGGATGCCAACCAACGAATCAAAGGCATGCTGCAAGCAGACAAAGAGAGTTTGATGCCAACCTCCAAACCTCTAACAACCATTGCTGGTGATTTGCCTGCCTGCCTCCCTGGCACGGTGCAAAAACAAAATGGCGCCGCGCCGCACGCTACCACAACATGGCTGCATTGTCTGGATTTGCTCGGTAACTTAAAGAAAAAGGAAAAGACGCTTTAGTTTGCAAAAAAAAAACATGGCCGTCTCTGTGATTCGGGTGGAAGAATGCTATTTTGTATTTGCCAAAGTTTCAATCAACAGAAATTTTGCGCACGACGGTAAATAATCGCGTTTCTCTGAACAGAACATTGTGTTCGGCGTTTATTTCCAGCATCTTCTCGCCATTAAATTTTCGCCCTCCTTCTCTCAGCAGTGAAATAAACTTTTCATTTAAATGGTGCATATTGTGAAAAAAAATAAAAATAAAAAAAGGCATTCTCGTGTTGGTGCTGAACAGTTAAAAAAAAAAAAAAAAAGCAGCAGATGCAAACTAGAGAAGCGGTGGCATCCTACAAAAGACACAAAAGAGGGTCTTGATGCCAACCCCGGTGCCAGTGGCAACCATTATTGTCTCTGTGCGGTGCCTTCTGCTTTCCCTGGCACTTATCAAACACAAAATGGCGCTCAGGGTTTGATGGTAATGAGCTAGCTATACCGCCGCCGCTTCTCCCCTCGGACGGCGACGTGTCGGTGGCCACTCGGCGCGGGTTTAACACGGAGGGAAATTTTCAGCGTGGAACACTATAGGGGGAATTCCTGCGGCGTCAGCAGATAAAGGGAGGAAGTTCCAAAAAAAAAAAAAAAACGTGAATTTAATGGCGTTCAGGAGGCTGCACTGTGTGAGGGGACGTCCGAGTCACAATTTAACAGCATCTGCATGTGAAATATATCCTTAAATTCTTACATTTCTGTCATTTAACTGAGATTCTCCCACTTGAGCTGCTTCTTTTTTTTTTTTTCCAGTGACAAGTTTTGGCTGAAATTCCCAAACGTGTTCGTCAAAGCCACGGTTTAACGAGTGTGTGTCGATGATGTGTCAAAGCTAAAAAAAAATAAATTCAATTCTGTCAATTCTGAATAAAGGATTATAACACTTACAGTCAAAAAAAAGAAATGTGCATGTCAGAACCTATTCGTCTACCTGGCAACCACGTTTTCTATCCTCTTATAACACAGTGTGCTAAAATAAAAATGGCACGATCCGGTCTTCACATCACTGTCCGCAAAAAAAAAAGGCTTTCATGTGAGAGGAACCAGATTAATTAAGAAAACACACAGAGGTTTGGCACATGTTACACACAGACACAATAAAAGCTCGAATTTCTGGAGAATATGAACAATATCTGTAATGTGACTTAATATTAGAAATATGTTTGCTCTTAGTTTTACACAGGAGTGGCTGCTAGGTGGAGAGAAAATGTGATGTTTGGGGCTGACAACAGAATTAAAATGTTGTAAATTATGAGGGTTAATGGGAGGAAGGCCGAGTTTAGATTTAACAAATATGACACACAGCAAACCCGGATGCATAGATGGAGAAAAACAGACGACGTTTTAATTTCACCAGTCTGTGCCGAAACTTTACTTTCAGACGAACAGAGTCGGTGTGGAGAGTGTGTGTGTGTGTGTGTGTGTGTGTGTGTGTGTGTGTGCAGCTGGACCAGATAACACACATCCCGTCAAAGTTAGAACAACTGAGTCATTACTGAAGGCGATCTGGAGCTGCTGCCGGACTACAGCAGAGCAAACACACGTCTCAAACGTGTTCCACTTTTACGTGAAGCTATGAGCCTGACTTCAACATGTATGCTGCGTATACGTACAGTGCTGACCATCGTGTTTATTTGTCTGGCAGACGTGGCGGAGCTTTCAGCCAGTCTGAGCAGAACTGCCAAGAAGTACCACATGTGACCCTTGACCTTGCCAAGCCATCATTCACACATGCGCATTGGCTCACACACAGTGAAACAAACACACACATACACAGTGTGAGCTCCAACCTACCTTGGTCCTGCACATAGTACGCTAGAAACAAGTCCAGCTCCTTGACCGATACTGTTATGTGGTGTGGCTGGACACAAAGTGCTGGGTTGGTGCAATGTGGAGACTTGACGAGGCGCTCGCCGTCTGTACTTTCCAGAGGGATGCCTTTGAAGAGGATGACCATCACCAGGTCCAGACGCCAAACTTTGTCGGCCTGCCGCAAACAGTCGATTCGGCGGATCTTGCCCTTCTGGTCCGGGTTGGATAGCACGCAGCACGGGGGCTTCTTCCCCGTCACGCTGAGGACAAAGTCCTCCCGGTACTCCTGCCGAATGTCCTTACGCAGCTTGGCCAGCAGCCTGGACGCCCACTTCTGCTTCACCTCGGGCTTCTCGCTCAGAAGCTCGTCCTTCACCGCGCGCTCCTCGTCCTTGGACATCCGCTTCTCGTGCTTCTTGAAGTACTTGCGTTTTCTGGCCTGGAGGTTGAACCACGTGTAGGCGATGGCACGGACGTGAGGGAGAAGCGCCTCGATGAAGGGATGAAATTCATCCTGCAGCATCCGCGAAGGAGGAGAAGAGAGGAGGAGAGAAACGTAATCAGAAACTCATGTCATCGAGAAATATGGGTTTATTCAGCGACTAATGCGAGGCAGAAGGCAAGTCAGACCACAAATTAAAAACAAAACAAAAATCCACATAATCAGTCACACAACATTATTGGCAGCTGATGTTTCTCCTCATGTAGCTGGTTTTACCATCCAGGATGTATGTGGACGTGCTGCAGGTGTGACAAGGAAACTCCAGCGTTTACATCAGCAGTACAGCAGCACCGAGCCGCTGACTGAACGCACTCGCGGCTCTGCTCTCGTTCCCCCAGCATGCTCTGAGCAGGACTCCTGTGCTGCTGCTGCTGCAGAGAGCATGCGCCCCTCACGGTCGCATTTCTCTTATCAAACTACCCACATTCCACGGTGAACTTATCCCGCGTCCACTAAGAAGCCAGGATAAGCCGGGAGGCCGAGGCGGGATGCGAAAAAGGGAAGTTAGTTCCCGCTCTGCAGTCGGTACAGCGCTCGGCCTCGTAGGCAGGCAATTAAACCAGCAGCACAGGAGCAAACAAAGCAAAAGGTATTCGCAAAGGTTGACTTAGGACTCGATAAGAAGTCGATGCCAAATTATTTGGAGTGTTGAGGTTAGCGTATGGAGCTGCACTCGCTCAGCCTCATTCCTAAAACTCCAGTTAGTGAAATTAAAATCTACTTTTAAAACTTCAATCTCAAATAAAGCATTTTTTTATTCTACAAATTAAAAGAAATCAGATTATTGGAATTATTCCCAACACTGGTTTTTCATTTAATCTCTACCTTTAACTACAAATAAACTTTTTCACAAGTTTTGCATTCCCTCTGAATCACTTCTAAAAATATATTTCCACCACATCCCAGCAGCTCGCTCGCTCACAGGCTTTTTACATCAACAGTCCTTCTGTAATTTCCTAACAAACTGTGATAATCTCACAGCCCCTTCTGGAGGTGTAGGAATGCCCCGGATCGCCCTGCTGGACTCGAGGCTCGTCAGGATATCGCAGCGAGTGGAAACGTTGAATTATCTGCGTTCGAGGTCATTAAAGTGTCACGTTTAATAAGCAGACGAAGCCCCCTTCAAGCAGGCTTTTGTGGACCTAAACCACATATTGTTCTTTTTGTAGGCGGGCGATGGGAAACCACAGAAACCCAGTCCCTGTGTGCCGCTGGTGCTCGGCAGAAGAAATGTCAAATCACTTTTTTAAATGCTGCGGAGAGGAGAGAGCAACCAGCAGTCTGTATAATCCACAACTTCTTTTTAATGTCGCCATAAAGTTGGCAATTAAAATGACAAAAAAGTAAATCCGAGCTGAGGTGCTCAACACATTTTTTTTTTTCACTCAAAGCTCAAAAACACTTAAAATATTCTGTTAATTTTTTTTTTTTTAAAACCAGGCTAAAGCCCAAAAAATGCTGTAAAGATAAATGACTTGGCCGGGGCCCTGTGCAGTGCACTTCAGCTGGGGCCATAAAAGCACAATCCCCTTAAGTACAAACTAAACCACATCTCAGTCAATCACTTACTTATGCCAAGTAAAATATAAACAGTCAAACTGAGTCAGCCAAAGCAGTCTGCTGCTCTGTCCAAACGCTGAATCAACCTTATCGCTGCGTTTCATCTTCCTACAGTGAAAGTGGCTTTATCTTCTTCCAGCTTCACTTCCCTAAAGTATTTCTTTTTTTTTTTTTTTAGCTGTAAATAAAAAAAAAAAATGGAAAGAAAAAAAATAAACAGAGCTTCAAGTGTGTGTGTGCGAGCTTAGTGGAGGATAACCTAATTAAACATGAGAAGAAATAAACCAGCAAGAATTACACGAGGGAAAAAAAACAGGATTGTAACGTTGGAATAAAAAAAAAAATCATCTTTACGCACAAGTTTACGCGCAAGAGGAATGCGTAAAAGGTGGAATGATTCCTCCCAAAGTTACAAATAAACACAAAAAAATCACCACAAATTCAGCACAAACGCACATATTTTAGAGTTAAATTTATGCTTGTGTTTTCATTCTTGTGCGTAATTTGTATGAAAGTATTTCCACCACAGTCCACACACACACTCACACACACACACACGCAGAACTTTCTATTCCCCACTCGCTCGCATGTGTGGGGTTTTTTTTTTTAAAGAACAAATCGGCAGCAATTAATTTAGAAATATAATTACAAAAAAAAAGACACAAATACCTGAGTGAGACAAATCGGGGAATACATGACGAGACGGCGGCGCGGAAAGCGAATGTACTGGGACTGACTCCTCTGATCACTTTATCGCGCCATTCCTGGACCGACGTGCACCATGCAAAGACCGTGGAGCGGCTCTCCGCGTAAAAACACCCCCCAGCAAAAAGGGAAAAAAGAAGCAGTTATCCAAGAACATCCATGGATTTTTTTCCTCCCTCTCTCTGTCTCCAAAGATTGTCGTCACCGCAGAGGGAAGATTTTTTTTTTGTTTTGTGTTGTTGTTGTTGTTGTTGACAAGCCGGTGCGATCTTTTTCTCTCTCTCTCTCTCCGGTGCTGCTGCCTCTGCTGCCGCTGCGTCCTCCTCTAACTACTACATGGGGCTCTTTGCGCGATATCTCATGAAAGCTTCAGAGGGGGCGCCGAGTGTGTGATGTTCACCCCCAGCTTTGCGCAAACTTGATATGAAATCGACCGACCGGTGCACCTTCGGTCCTGCGCGATTCCAGCAAATCAGACCCAACTTTTTTTTTTTTTTTTTTTTTTTTTCACCCACGTAATTACACAGTCACACTCCTCCTTCTCCTCCTCCTCCTCCTCCTCCTGCGACCATATCCACCCTCCAGCACCTCCGTCTCCTTCTCGGTTAGCACACAATTCATTTACCCCCCCCTCCTCCTCTTCTTTTACTATTATTTTACGAGCTTCGGGGACTTTGGACGCAGAAAAAAGGTAAATTTTCCCCCCTTTTGCCACCCTTTGCTCCGCTTCCAGTTCACGTAATTCGACGCTGGAAACACGTCGAACCGTCACGTTGTTGTTTAAAGCTGTTTCTGCAAACTTCTCAGCACCAAAAAAAGCCAAAATTTGAAGGGTTATAACAAAATTAGCCTCCAAATGTTAGCTTAAATTAGCTTGAAAGTGTATAGTTTAACTGTCACGCAGCAGAAGAGCATTTTGTATTTTGAACTTGAGCTTTTTCTGAAAACTTCTCAACATATTTAAAGACAGAACATTTTGTTAAACTTGTTAAAAAGCCTAAGAAAATTTAAAATTTATCAATTTCAACCAAATTAGCTGACACGCTAGCTTTAAAGTGTCACCCGCTACATTTAGCAAACTACAAACCGGAGAACATTTTATTTAGTTTTTTACTTTTTTTGAAAACGTCTCAACATGAATAAAGACAGTTAACCCTTTAAAGAGCCTTTATACAATTAATAATTCATTAATTTTAACAGTTAAAACAAAACATTAGCTTAAAAGTCTCATACGCTACAATTAGCAAACGTTGATGGTTTTAGTTTAGCCTGATTTTTTTATTTTTCAACGTTTTCTGACAACTTCTCATTATATATAAAGAGAAAACATTTGGGGAAACCTTTAATGAGCCTTTATAAAATTAATTATTTATCAGTTTTAACTGTTACAACAAAATATTAGCTTAAAAGTGCTTTGCGCTACAATTAGCGAACATTCGTGCTATTTAGTTTAGCCCTTTTCCAACTTTTTTTCTGAAAACTTCTCAGCATATATAAAGAAAGAACATTTGGTGAAACTTTTAATGAAGCTTTAGAAAATTAATAATTCATCAGTTTTAACAGTTACAGCAAAACATAAGCTTGAAAATGTCTCACGCTACAATTAGCGAACCTTGGTGCTATTTAGTTTAGCTGTCAATTTTCATTTTTCTGAAAACTTCTCAACACATATAAAGAAAGAACATTTTGTTAAACTTCTAAAGAACCCTTGTGAAATTAATAATTCACCACTTTTCACCTAATTAGCCTAAATGTGTCACGCGCTACAAGTTAGCTTAGCTTCGAGGGAATTTAGTTGAAAATGTAATTTTTGTTTTGTTTTTTTTAGCACAAAGTTGAATGTTTTCTCTCTGTTTTAACCTCTTTTGAGTGTGTTTTTAATGGTGGAGTCCCTCCTGGCTAAGCTCGGTGTGTGAAGTGTTAGCAGGAATGCTGGAAGTTCAACGTTATTCCTTCGCTGCTGCTGCTGCTGCGGTGTGTGCGGGCTGCTGTGTGTCCTACAGAGCTGTCAACGGTCCACACAGAGTTCATTTGCCAGATTAAGGGGAATGAGATGTTAACATAGGCTGCCGGAGAATCTGTGCCAAGTTTAGTACT